AGACAGGTAGACAGGTAGACAGGTACACAGGTACACAGTAAACATGTAGTCAGGTAGACAGGTAGACAGGTAGACAGGTAGACAGGTAGACAGATAGGTCCAGTATACCTGTAGTTAAGAAGTGTGAAGTGCAGTGTAGGTAAGGATATACCAGAGTATAAACCAGATACTGGCCCACCTAACATATTTAGATTTCAAATCTCAGGTCTTAGATGCGATCTCACGGTGGGGGTAACTATTCCTGGTGCCCCCCCCCCCATCTAAGAAGGAGAGGGGATGACACCGATTTATTTTAAAAACCTAGGCAAGTTTTATCGCGATTTGTTCACTATTAGGGCCGTTCTTTAAGTGTTTGGACAATTCTTAGATTGGTCATTTATTTCTAAGAAAGAATATTCTTTTCTGTTTATGATATGTCCCATCTATTAAATGTCCCATCTATGAAATGTACCATCTATGATATGTCCCATCTATGATATGTCCCATCTATTAAATGTCCCATCTATGAAATGTACCATCTATTATATGTCCCATCTATGATATGTCCCATCTATGAAATGTCCCATCTATGAAATGTCCCATCTATGATATGTCCTACCTATGAAATGTCCCATCTATGAAATGTCCCATCTATGAAATGTCCTAAATGTTGAATTTTTCTTACAACGAAAATTCATATCTGTATAATAAAACAAGACATTCATTTATTTTATGTGTTGCCTATAGCCCGCCAAACGGCTGGACCAAATGGGCTGAAATTTTTTTGGGAAGCCGGGGGGGGGGAGGGGGTGTCAAAGGCTAAACAAAAATAAGAATTTAAAAAAAAATATTTCTAATTTCATGCAAATATGGCAATTATTGTCACGTGTTTCCGTCTGTATCACGTGACCAGTATACTGCACTACCATTAGAGGAAGTTCTGGTCACGTGATATGGACGTATATCTTACATATATACGTTTTGGTATAATTTTGACACAGTTTTACATCAATTTCTCGAATCAGGAACATCAGATAGATGTCCTATAGGTCTCAATCAGCTCCTGAGATTCTCAGGCTTCAGCCTATACCCCCTGTCATTTTTCCTTTACAGTACCTTTAATGTGTTCAAAAATATGAAAGTTTTTTCTGACTGAAAAAGTGTCTATTTCTGGCAGTTTCTCCATTGTTTCTTAACGTTTTTAAGTAAGAAAAGCGCAAATTACTTTTTCAGAGGACCTGCAAATGAAATTAAATAATTTAAAAGATACAAAAAAGTAGATATCTAATTCATACTTGATCAAACAAATCTTTAAGGGTACCGTTGTGAATTGGAAATTAGCATCTTTATTATGAAATTGCAGCTCTTTTATTTATATTTCAGTATAAAAGTAAATTGTGAATATTCTTGTATTTTTTATATTTTTTATACATTTTTTTTCTGATAATAAAATATAAATTATCATTGTAAAAATTTGTGAATATAATTCTGTACAATTCTTCAAATTATTCATGCAAAGGATAATGAATTTATTGTTTACATTAAACCCTAAATTTCAATTCCTTTTTGCGTTGCAACAGATTGTGAAAACCATTTAAATTTAGTCTGATTGATCTACAAGATTTTATAATTTGAAATAGAATATATATCTTTGCCAAAAGGCTACAAAGATTTAAGGATTTAAAGATTGAGTAGAGTTATCATTCATTTTACAAAAAAGGAAATGAATTTTGTATTTAATTTTCAAAATTTAAGCCGGCGCTCAATTGAAACCTGTTTTTGGGGGATTTGAGACGCGGCTTAAATTCATTAAATTCGGACACTTTTCCAATAAAATTAACAGAACTAACTTAAATCGATAGAAAAACAACGATATCCTCCTCATTGTCGCTCAGTCAGATAAAGTTTTAGGGAATGCAAATCCTTAAAGGGAGTGTACGTTAAAAAGAACCTGTCAAATCTTTCCCTGGGATGTTTAGAAAGATGAAAATTTCCCTGTATGATACTTGAAGGACTGCAGTTTGGTTTTGGTCAATTATATTGACGTACTAAGCATAGGGGTGTCAGAAATATTTGCAATTTTTTTAAAGCGTCCCATAAAACCTAAAAAAAGTTTAATTTTGATAAAACTTTTTGTTCTGGGTGATTGCATATATTTATAGAAAACTTTCTTAAACAAACATGATTTTTTTTCTAAATTCACTTTTTCAAGAGTTTAAGTCAAAACAATTATTGATAATTATTGCTTTATATCGAGTAATTATCCTTAAACAAACCGATGTGAAACCTTTCAGAAAGTAGGAAAGATTCTGCAAAAAAAAGTTGCCAAACCAAACAGAATTTTTATTTTGAACAAAAATATTTAGAACTTACACAGAAGAAGGTACCCCATAGTACCCAACAGTACCCTGCAGATATGGGGATTACAAATTGGCGTGGCTGCCATCCCTCCCTCCATTAAGTGATCAGCTGCTTAGTATTAAACTAGCTTTTTCGTCCATGAAAATAGTGCAAAACTATAAAGAAAATATGCTTAGAAGTGCTTCTGACTCTACTTATATTTTTTTATTAAAGATAAAACTTCTGTTTGGTTTTCAAAAAAAATGCAAAAAGACATTTCTGACACCCCAAGGCTTAGTACGCCAATATAATTCACCAAAACCATAATGCAGTCCTTCAATTATCATACAGGGAAATTTTCATTTTTTAAACATCCCAGGGAAAGATTTTACAGGTTCTTTACGTTAAAAAATGTTCGATGGTGATTGCTTCCAATTTTATTTCTATCTGTTGCGTCTCATTGAGGAGAAAATTGTTAAAAACAACTCATACCGAAAACGCAGGGTCAATACAAAAATAAATTTAACTCTAAGCAAAACATTCAGATATTGCGACCTATAATCATCAATTTCCTTCAACGCATTCGTAGATATTTAATATTTCAAAATATTCGTTGTTTATATAGTGTAATTTAAACAACGAGTAGTGGGCCGCCAGGTGTCTCTGCTCTCGATGTTTCTGTATGGTGAAAGAGACACCTGGCGGACCAAAAAAATCGTCGTTTAAAGGTTTTTCGCGAACAATCCCTGTAAAGGGGGTGTATTGAAATTACGTTGAGTCTCTTTAGGTTTGATGAGTACGAGGGTGCCAGTAGAGCGTCGAGAAACTTGTCGGTCGCAGGGTGCAATTTAAACTGCAATGTTTACCTGAAGTCCCAAGGCGGGAGGAGTTTCAAGAAGATTGAAGAACACATGAAGAAGATCTAGAAAAAGGAAATAAATCATTTTTAAAAATTTATTAAAACAAATTATCAAATTTTTTTTTACAAAGTTCTCCTTGATGTTTGTAAACATATTGATGTTTGAATGATACTCAACGATATTATAGAGAAAAGAGCAATAATGTCAGTTAATTCATTATTTATTTATAGAGGCTGAGAACTATACACCGAGAGCGTACTTTATATATTTGATTATTACACTATACGTTAGGCAATAATCTCTTTTTCTCATTTATAAGTTAAAAGTTGTAACACAATAAATAAATAAAAAGGATCGTTTATTTGGTGAACCGTCCCATTTTGCCTTAAATAGTCTGTGTGTGTACTGCAGTACACCTTGCTCCGACAAAACAAATCTTGAATCATCAATTCAAAAGGCTGTCAGGTAGATCAGTCACTTAAAATTACGCTTACAGTCCAATTAAATGTCGTCTTTCTATTCCACATTTTTTTTGGTTCCACAATATCAAACTAACCTGCTACACACAAACAGAAGAGAAGTCTGTAGAATAAACTTGGAGTCTTCATTTTCCTCAACACGATCAGACTTAAACAAATTTATATTATTAACCTGGAGAAATTCTAAGAATTGTCGTCAGACATTTAGATGTCTAAAATAACTCAAATGTTTGGGGTTCAACAAAATGTTTATGAGTGGTCAGAATTTAAAATTTTTGTCTCAAGATAAATTTGAATTGTGGAAATTGTGAAATGAAAATATGTGTACGTGAAAGGGAAATATGTGAACGTGTTAGGAAAATATTTGTACGTGAAAGGAAAATATGTGTACGTGAAAGGAAAATATGTGAACGTGAAAGGAAAATATGTGTACGTAAAAGGAAAATATGTGAACGTGAAAGGAAAATATGTGAACGTGAAATGAAAATATGTGTACGTAAAATGAAAATATGTGTATGTGAAATGAAAATATGTGTATGTGAAATGAAAATATGTGTGCGTGAAAGGAAAATATGTGAACGTGAAAGGAAAATATGTGAACGTGAAATAAAAATATATGTACGTGAAATGAAAATATGTGTACGTGAAATGAAAATATGTGTACGTGAAATGAAAATATGTGTACGTGAAAGGAAAATATGTGAACGTGAAATAAAAATATATGTACGTAAAAGGAAAATATGTGTACGTGAAAGGAAACTATGTGAACATGAAAGGAAAATATGTGAACGTGAAATGAAAATATGTGAACGTGAAAGGAAAATATGTGAACGTGAAAGGAAAATATGTGTACGTGAAAGGAAACTATGTGTACGTGAAAGGAAAATATGTGTACGTGAAAGGAAAATATTTGTAGAAGTAATAATGTAAAATAGACAAGAGGCGTAATTTCAAGTGACTTGTAGACTGCGTCGGATTCACAACAGCACCAACAAACTTTGATCAAAATCAAGTTTATCCTTCTTATCATGTACAGCAACACTTTTATTTGTTTACTACTTAAGTTGCAAGGTACTTCATACTTCAGAAATAGTACTTTTAACCTTCTCAAAAGTCTCAGAAAATAAATATTTACATTCAAATGTTTGAAAACCCCTTTGGAGTTTGGACATAGAATATTCTGGCATCAGTCAAAGGTTTAATTAGGGCACAGTTGTAAATAGGAAACATTCCATCTTTGCCTGGAGGGTCCCATGAAATTAGGCGTTCACTCCCTTTAATTTCAAAGTATACCTGGTAAGATTTCCAAGAATGCCTAGAATGCAGACACCTGTCATCAATACACCTTGAAACATTTTATTCGATTTTTCACATGAAAGAAATTATATTATTATAAACAATGTGTCCGCATTTTAAACAATATGTCCGCATTTTAAACAATATGTCCGCATTTTAAACAACATGTCCGCATTTTAAACAATATGTTCGCATTTTAAACAATATGGCCGCTAAAAATGTATCCGCATTATAAATAATATGTCCGCATTATAAACAATATGTCCGCATTATAAACAATTTGTTCGCAGTTAAAGAAAGCTTAAAGAAACAATATATCCGCATTATAAACAATATGTCCGCATTTTAAACAATATGTCCACATTTAAACAATATGTCCGCATTATTATAAAATGTCTGCATTTTAAACAATATGGCCGCTTAAAAAACAATATGTCTGCATCATAAAGAAAATGGTCGCCTACCTGCAACCCAGAATTTCCAGGCCGAATACAATTCTCCTCTATCATCAGCTAAACATTCCCTAAAGCATGAAAGAATAATACTTTATTTTGAATTGCCTTTCGTTATTAAAACTATATTCATACAATTCTACAAAAAAGTTGCTAATAAATTTTGGGATGAAAACCCCGTGATTTTATTTCGTCAACATAAATTTAAATTAATTTTATTTTGTAAGAACAAAATGGAGGTTAAAATATCATAAACATCCATGTAAGGAAAATATTTTATTAAAATATTTAATATATAATAAAAAAGCATTTTATTAAATTTTATTGCAAAACAAATATCTCTTGTTTTACAGAATTAAAATGTAATCAGGTTTTAATATTTTCATGAGAAAGGAATTGAGTCCTTGTAACAAGCTCAAAATTTCCTATATCTTTTTAACCTAATAGTTTAAACCTTCGATATTAAAAACTTAAATTATTTGATCTAACAGAATTCATATTTGAAATATCTAAGGTCTACAATATTAAGATTTGCACAGATAAAGGATTATAAAATGGCAGTTTGTGGCAAAGACTCAAAGACACAAATTTGATGTTTAATCTTTGATGATTTATAAAAAAATTAAATCCTACCGAAAGTAATCAAAAAAGCGGTTCAAAGGTTATCAAAGATTTATTTAGTACATAAAGTTTTCTTCATTTTATCCAATTAAACGAATTTTTCAATGACATTTGAAATAAATAGTTGTTTTGACGCGGTTTATTGGGAAAATGTATTAAAGGAACTCTAAAGGCTTTCTTTATTTCCGGTAAGGTTTTTTAAGTACGGAATGTTTTAAGCAAACAAATATTTTTACAGAACGGACGAGTTAAAAATAAAAATTTTCAATGATTTTAATCACACATCTTTTAAAATATTATTCAGCTGTAAACTCTTTATTAATGTTTTAAAACAAATATCAATAACCAACTTTTTTCTCGATAGTTAGGCTTATATTAACATGTTTAGATTGTTCTAAAAACTTTTTTGATTGATGTAATATCTTTTATGTAGTACTAAAAATATGTTATAAAAGTTTAAATGGGATTCTAAGAGTATTTTCGCCGGGTCACAATGCATTCGGTCATTTGTTAACCTAACTTTTGTTTAAATTGAATCCAAAGTTTAATTTACAATTCATATAAATTTAAATCTGATCAGCCCTGGGGACTAAAAATCATAAAAAAATATATGAATCTAAAGAGGAAATCTCTTTGAAAATTTAAATTGGATCCAGCAAAGTTTTAAAATATGAAACTTAAACTATCGTAAAAAAAACTTTTTACGATAGTTTAAGTTTTCATTCATTAAAATCTGGATGAATGTAAATTAAAATATTTGGCCTGGAATAATGTCGACATTTATTATGTTTAAAAATGCATCAATTTATACAAAAAAAACCGCGAAAACTTGAGGAAAAACTGGCAACTCGTAGTCTGAGTTGTAGAGCAACATTAAAACTCGTAGTCTGAGTTGTAGAGCAACATTAAAACGGGTAAAATTTTAAAGTTTTTTGATTGTATATTATGTAGATAATAAAGGAACTTTTTAGCTCCACAAATATTTTTAAAAATATTTGTAAAATATATTTGAATTTTATATTTACCTGTCAATATTCTCTTTATATTGTCGAATATCATCTGTTATATTTTGTAGAACATTCTATATTTTTTTATTCATTCATTTATTCAGTTACAAATTCTGTTTTAAACTTTATACCATTTTACGTACAGCTCTAAAGGTTTTAGGTTAAAAAGTTGTCTAATTTATGTACATGGTTAACCACAAAGGATGAAACTACAAAGACGACCCAGAGCTCTAAAAATATTACGATTTGAAGCTTCATTTTTGGTTACCACATTTAATTGAGTATTGTGATGGTTTCCTAGATGATTAGGCACAGAAATATGCCAGTTTTGGCCTACCCCTATAGTTTCAGTAGAAGTAAATATTTCCGTTTACTGTTATAGCGCCGATATAAGGATTTATCTCTAATTGGATAATGAGCTAGATAGAAAGATAGATGTTACCGCCATGCAATTTCTATTGGTTCAGAATAGACGCCAAACACATGAATGAACTCTGATTGGATCAGGCGCTAATGGAACTAGAGTGACATGGAACCCTGACTGCAAGAAAACGGACAAAACAAATTGCATATATTCGTCTCTGAAGTCTCATTGTTTGTGGGTAACCATGTCTGTATTTATTTATTATATCCATTAAACTTCCAAACCATTGAACCGAATTGACCAAAGATGCAACAATGTTTAAAAATGAATAATTTCCTGAAGAAAAACATTGGTCAACTGCTCAGTTATATTTTTATTCTTAGAAGTATGGTTTCCCAGTATTTTAGAGATCTCCTAGATAGATAGATAGATAGATAGATAGATAGATAGTTAGATAGATAGATAGATAGATAGATAGATAGATAGATAGATAGATAGAATATATATATAGATAGATAGATAAATAGATAGATAGATAGATAGATAGACAGTCAGACAGACAGATAGATAGATAGATAGTAGATAGATGAAAGATAGGTATGTAGATAGATAGGTAGATAGATAGATAGTAGATAGATGAAAGATAGATAGATAGATAGATAGATAGCAGATATATGAAATATAGGAATGTAGATAGATAGATAGATAGATAGATAGATAGATAGACAGTCAGACAGACAGATAGATAGATAGATAGTAGATAGATGAAAGATAGGTACGTAGATAGATAGGTAGATAGATATAGATAGATAGATAGATAGATAGTAGATAGATGAAAGATAGATAGAAAAATAGATAGATAATTAGATAGCAGATATATGAAATATAGGAATGTAGATAGATAGATAGAAGAAAGATAGATAGATACCTTCAAGAAGTCGAGGCCTTTATCTTCATTACCACCTAGAATTAATGGGATTATGTAGATTCACTTAAAGGGAGTGACCGGCAATGTATGGTAGTTAAACTGAGAATGTAGTATTGTAAAAAAAAATTGTATGATTCATTTGAGAAAAATAAAACGTTTTGATGATGTATAATCACTGAGTTTGAGCGCCAAGTCGACGTTCAAAATCTTCCATTTGGGTGGTTTCGTTTTGAGAATCCATTTTTTTTAAATGATTAAATTACGAAAAATGTATCAAATATTCTACAGTAAACAATTTGATATTTAGGAACATATTTCTTAATAGACATTTCTCAATAAATCAATGCTAGAATCATTTATTTCTTTTTCATCATTATATTGAATTTCTTATTTATTGTACTTTGTCGCAGATTTCTACAAATTCTTCAAATATCGTCTTTTCAATAAAAATTCCAGAAAATCTACAGAAAATGTTTGTGAACAATAAGAGATTACATACACTAATAACTGAATAAGATTACTTTAAGATGAAATTTTATATTATCTTAAACTAAACAATTAATAAAACAATAAATTCCAAGAAAACTTTTCGAAACACAGTGTTCAAAGCAATTCAATATTTTACTTTATTAAGAAAAATAGAATAAGAAAACTTCACTCAAACTGAAAAATTGTTTTCATCAAAATCTCATCAAAGTTTCTTATTTTTCCAGCTAGATATAAATATTTATTTGAAATTTGATTACTTTGAAATAATTATATTAATTAAAGCTGGATAGTATACCAAATCTGAACTGCACTATTTTTACTGGCAACAAAATTCACTTTATTCTATAAAAAGCTTTTAAATCTAAAAAAGAAAGCTTTAGCAGCAATTAATAATTTATGTAGTAGAAAAATTACAAAAAAGTGACTTTTCTTTGAAACCTGATTGATGGTGTAAATCTTTAATATTTTATAGTTGGATTATTAGGTCTGACAGAATTTAAAGTTGAAATATCTAAGATCTGTGTTATTGGGTTGCAAAGATACAGGAATTAAAAAGAGTCATAGTTTGTTGCAAAGACTTAATTTTTTTGTTCAAATTGTTTTAAATTGAAATGGTCTGCAATTAAGTTCACTCTAAGGGTTTTTTTTTCTTCATAATTTAGTATTTTTTTAATAGGTTCTAAAAGATAAATGGTTACTAAACAGGGCTAGGAAGAAATTGAAATGAAGGAACTGAGGTTTTGTCACAAACTCACATTTCTAATCCTTCTATCTTTGCAACTATGATATTTCAAAGTTAGTCTATTTGACATAAAAGAATTCTATAGTTTGAAATAACAGAGGTCTAGGATATCGGATTCCAAAAATATAGGGGTTAGAAAATCTGAGTTTGTTGCAAAAACTCAGTTCCTTTCTCACTTGCTTTCAGGAATTTATAAAGTTTTTTCAGAATTAAGGTTTGAGTAAAAAACCATTATCTGAATAATCTTTGTATGCGTATTAAATGTTTCTAAATAGACACTGCGAATTTCATCAAATTCTCCTTAACAACATGTTTCAAAATAAAATAAAAACTCATAATTCAAATATAATTCCTAGATATACAGTCGGGGTATAGTCAACTAGACGGAAGGCACTTAGATAAATATAAACAGTCTCATCAATTTTTAAGGCAGGGTCGACTTTGAAGTGTCGAAATGCCTTTGGCTTAGATTTTACCGCTCTAACTTACTTATACTTTTTCTTAGCCTTTCACATGTACATTTTAGCACTGTAAAGCACCAGTGTTGAAGAAGTAATTGGAAAAATTCTCATTGGTTTTGCTTGAGAGCGTAAGACTTTCAAATCAAGTCAAATTTAAGTAAAAATACTAGTACAGCTTTGTAACCCCGCAGCTTCTCTGGTTTCCATTTTACGCACAAGAATTAACATTACATGTATTAGGAATTCAAAACATTAATGCTCAGTACGTCTTCAAAAGAAAGGTTATGATTTATAACAGATAAGATTTTATTAACTTTAGTTTGAAGTAAAGTAAATGTACTGCACCTAGTTGTATTACTGTTTAAGAAGGATGATATGAGGGTAGTATTAGGGTATAGAACAGAACCTAATAAATCCTCCAGAACTAGCCCACCTTCTTCCATTCTTTAAACACAACTAAACAATTCATCCGTCCGACAGAGAGAGAGAGAGAGAGAGAGAGAGAGAGAGAGAGAGAGAGAGAGAGATTATCAAACACTATAGTGTTTAAAATTCTTGAACACTATGTTTAAAATTGTTGAACTTTCTAGAATTGACAGAAAATAAATATTTTCTTTCGAATTTTTTAAAACCGTTTTACAATTGTAAAATATTCGGTAATGCCAAGTTACAAATAGAGCATCAGCTGTGTTGAGGTCGAATTGTACACAGCGAAAACCGTGTTTTTGAGAAGTTCAAGTGGTTTTTAAGATATTTAAAGGGACTGATCATCGCATGTATTTCAGGTTACATCATTGGATACATGTAGATTATTGTAGGCCTTACATCATTGGATACTTGTAGATTATTGTAGGCCTTGTATCATCGGATACATGTAGATTATTATAGGCCTTACATCATCGGATACATGTAGATTATTGTAGGCCTTACATCATCGGATACATGTAGATTATTGTAGGCCTTACATCATCGGATACATGTAGATTATTTAATCTGAAAAAAATTGTAGTTTAAAATTCTAAGGTTTACAGCTTTGCAGGGATGGCATAAAAAACCAGCCCAAAAAAAACAACCCCCAAAAAAAACAATAAAACCCACTTTAAAAAACCCAACTAAAAGTGAACATTTTTTTTTTTTTTAATTATTTTTCTATTTTTAAGCCTAATCTTCACTGTTTTAATAATACATTCTTCATACATTCTTACCAGGGAACATACATACATACATTCTTCTTCTTGATATTGATTATTAGGTATAGTTTGTATTACTTAAACTGACAGCTGTATTCATCTATTGTGTGGTGACTAAAACCTATGATCATTGGGCTGCAAAGATATAGGGATAAGAAATCCAGAGTTGGTGGCACAGACTCAATTTCTTTGTGATTACGAAAATATTTAATTCTATCATTTAGATTTCTGGAAGGAATGCTATTTATCACGAAAAAAAATCATCCTAAGAAAATGTAAAAATACGATTAAAATTGCAAAGCAGGGATATTTTTAGATATAAAAAGATTTTGCCTGGAATCTATTTTTATCACCCCCTGGGAAAAAATCCCCCCTGGAAGTGAATAGAGGGAATTTGGTTTTATTATGTCAAAGCCATAGACAGCTGGGGGAGTGTATGGGTGAAAATGCGTAACCAAGATTTGGATTTTTATAAAAAATCTTCCTTCTAAGTGATAAAGTGGCGCCACGGGGAATTTTTTTTGATCTATTAATTTAAAAATCAAAATTAAATTGCTCCTGCGCTCCTAATTTTTCCAAGGGGGACTTTGCAGATTTTATTAAAAATTAAAAATCTTGAATGCTTAAAAAGCGGATCAAAAGGAATTAATTAAAAAAAATTGCACGTTTTTTAACACATGTTTTCAAAGTTGAATTATAAGGTGCATATTGTGGTTTCAAGAAAAAATAGTTTCAAAACAATTAAATTGAATGGACTCAAAATCTAAAACAATTTATTCACTCTAGATGTTTGGGTGTGCAGCTCTGACGGTGGCGGCCCTGCAGGATACATACATATATATTTTTTAAAAGCTCATTTTGGATTTTTTTGATTCTGTAATTTTTATATTTTAATTTTCAATTTATTTTTATGTCCAACTAATTAATAGTGTTTTAAATATTAAATAATCCTATTCCCTTACTAATACTGCATCAACCTAGGATGATCATTTTAGGTACTTTTGAAATAGAATGTTAGCGACTATCCTAAAGTTTCTCTGCCAGAGTCTTTTGATCCTAAACTTACTAGTTTCTTAATTCAAAATAGAGCTAGGATGTATATGTATAGTATTCACCCGTCTACAAGCCGATGATGGATTTTAATTCTAAGGCTGACTACGAATGTAGATTTATACTCAATTGATAATTATACAGACTAAGGGTAATGTCTTGCAGTACATGGTACGGGAGAAGAAGTTCTCACGGCAGAGATTCCTTTGATTCATTTACTTCGGAAAAGGAAGCAACAGAAAGAGAGAAACTTTAAAATGGAGAATCATCAGAATTAGAACATGGAGTAAAACAACGAGGCTTAATATATATTATAAACTGCAAGAATAGTATTTTTATAAAATTGAAAATCAAATGTTTCAGAGACATGGACAAATTATGTGTATTCTTCCTAAAAGGATCCTGTTGGAGAGGAAGAGCATGCCCTTTTATACACAGCTACAATGATGGAACCAAGTAATTATAATTCATTAGGAACTAAATCATTATATGGCATTACAACACAGAGATGAACAAAGGATTTGAAGAATATCATTTAGGAATGAGAATAGAGATGAAAGAGGGAGAAAAAGAGAGAAAGATTATGAAGATAAATACAGAGGAAGGAGAAGAAGCTCGTCAATAACCCGCACAAAGTAATAAAAGTATTTTTAAAACATTTATAAGATAATGAAAGAACGATCAGAAGAATTAATTGAACTAATTAAAGGAGAACGAGTAGCAAACAAATGAATGATGAATCTAAAGGATCTAACAACAAATACCAAGAGAAGTAGGTTTTAAAGGAGATAAAGAACACAAGTATCCCAAAGGATGTTTAATCCATTTCATATAGTTCCAATTAATTACGCTTTTAATTTCAAAATCAATAACGTTACTCTACAAATCATTTAAATTGAATTTTTCGTTTAATTACAATGGAATTTTCACAACTTATAATAATGAATCTTTTAATTATTTTTATTTCAACAATTTATTTACTTATTTTTATTATTTATTTTTCTCAATTTTTAATTTTTATTATAGGAGAGTACAGTTCCAACAACACAAAGATAGATCACAATCTTCATCAAAGCACGAGAGAGACGTTGATATAAGGAGATGGAAAGATCCTAGGATAGGAAACAAGAAGGTTGACAATGTAATAAAACCAACAGCTCTAGAAAACCGGAAAAGGAAAAGATCTTCATCACCTGACCATGAAAGAAAACTACCACCCAAGGAAAACAGGAACAGAGGAAGATCAGTTACACCGGAGAAGAAAGATGGTAAATCTAAAGAAACAAATCGTAACACTAAAGGGAAGAAACCAAATTACCATATATTCTGCATTTGTGGAATCCAAACCTACGAGCATGGGATGTTAAAATGCACAGAATGCAGAAGATACTCACATGCTGAATGCTACAAGACAGACGATCTTTCTGTTGAACATATCTGCGGGGGGTGTGCTGTAAAAACCAAGAAGAAATGCATAAACCCTGAAATGGAAAATATCCTAAAACAGAGAACGTGTACCAAAGAAGAGAAATCTCAATTTGTCTTTAAACTAGCTGTGAGGAGAGTATTAAATTCAATACTCAGAGAGGAGTTTAAGCATACACAACCAGGAATCGAACCTGATGCGGAATTCCTAAGAATGAAGTTTGATATAACCAGTTCGTATGCAAACAAAATTCTTGTCTACCTGTTCAAGTCGGGATTTATCTCTGTCGAAAACGGATTCAAGATAAATGAAGAGAAGATAAGAGAATACATGAACGAGGGTAACGAGGATTCTGGATTTATTGATCAAAATGCATCTTTTCTACCCCAAGATGACATGGAAACTGAAGTCGTAATAAACAAGGAAAGGAGAGAAGTAAAGTGGAAAAATGGAGGGGAATCTGAAGCGGAGAGCAATGGATCTAAATCAATACCTAGCAAGGATATTTCAACTATTAATCCTTCTCAACCTTCTGGAAGTTCGTATGTAAAGAAATTTTTGTGGCCTGAGAAATTTCTTACGAGGGAATCAAGAAAAGAATCTGAACCTGTTGAACCCATTGAACCCAAAGATATTGGTAAACAAAGTTCAAGACCGTTTTTTGGTCAAGTGATGGAAACTATGGGCCCCCGACTAAATACTAATGAGCAAAAAAGCTGGAACTTGTGCTTCAAATTAGGAAGGAAAGGGGAATCAGTACAGGTCTGGGCGTTTGGTTCAGAGTCAGAGATCAAAAACTTAGATAAGCAAATCAATATTGATTCCTACATCGTATATTGGGGGCATTATGGTATATCACCAAAAACCTCCAATAATCTGAGCCCAACTTCTGACTGGATAATTAAAATCCAACCAAAGGTATCCTGTATTGGGCAAGTTAAGCTGATTGTATCTAAAACAAGTGTTGACGAGGAGGATAAGAACGTTGACAAAGAACAATTTTCAGCTAAATTTCAACAACCAGCGAAATATCCTGCTAAGAAAATGGCGAGAGAGAAGAATTATGAGGAGAAGAAGAAGACCACAATTGAAACTAATCAAAAAAGGATTACAGACTTCATGATTCCTGAGGATGAACTTATTTTCGACAACGATTCTGACTCTCTAGTTAGGTGTACTACACCTATTTTGGAAGGATTGAGTGACGAAACATCATCATCATCTATACATGAAGATGAATATTGTTCAACCCCTTCACCAAGTTATCTTCCCTCTCCAGATGGATACCTTCCCGATCGAAGTGTTTCTGAATCAGAATCTGATTGATAAACAATTTTTCCTGTGAGGTTTTTTATTACCCAAGATATTAATAGCAATAATTATTTATAATTCTTTTATTTGAAACTCTGGATTTTAAATCTTTCAACAGTAAATTTGAACAGATTATATTAAATATTCTGCATTTTTGCGATTTTTCTATATTGAATTCAAACAGTTTATTATACACATTCAAATATCATGGGTCAATTTTCAATTTTCAATGTAGAGAATGTTATTTTTGAGCTTACAGATTAAAGGTTTTTGGATTTTTTACGAACATCAAATAAAGTCAGATTTTTATTTGAAAATATGTGTTGTAAATAATATAAATAATGTATCATTTGTTTTTTAAAAGGAAAGGCCCTTTAAAAACAGTTTTATAGTTTGATAAACTAAATTATATTTCAGGAAAATGATATCATTCTTAGAATTACTTTATGCATGTGTACTAGTGCAGGGATCAAACCCAGATGAACAAACCAGAGATGATCTTATTCTAATGAATAAAAAACTGATTGAAACCTTCAATGAGATCTCGGAAGACTTCGCAACTCTACAAAACAACAGGACTTTTAAGATTTCTTCAGGTGATGAGTTTAATCAAATGTGGATCGAATTTTACAGTAAAATACGAACAACCCTGAAAAGGATGGATTACAGGGAACGGCTCGTCAAAGCAATTGAATTATATTCTCCAAGCCACTGTAAAGATTTAATCTTACAACAGATTGATGTATTGATTAGCAAATTTGAAAAATATTTATTAAACAGATTACATAGGTCCATGGATAATTATACTTCCGAAGAAATTGGGGCAATTGGACAAGCATTAAAAAGCGAATCCTTTTTCAATTTAACAGATGAGGAAATAAATCCAGAATTGATTATGAATTTAAAACTGGGCAAAAAATATTCACCAAAAACAAATTATTCTACCTACACGGAAATTGATAGGTTTAATAAAGAAATTATCTCAATCCTGAAATCATACATCAAATCTGAATTCAACATTTCAATTGTAATTAATCCCAAGAATATTGTGGAAGACATGAAGAACATAATTAAATCAAATGTTTCAATTAAAATTAAAGAGTTCCTGGATCATGCAATTAATATATATAAACAAGAACTAAGTTCATTTACAACCCAGATGCGAAGGAAAAAGAAAAATGTTGAAAATCTTCCAGACGAACATTTTTTTAATTCAGCTTTTGAACCAGGACAAGATAAAATTTTGATAGAGGGAGATAAAAATATTGGTTATGTATGTATGTACGTTCAAGACCTATTACAACAGTACGAGAAAATAAACCTTCAACAACATTTTGGAAAAGTAGATCTAGACGAAGATTGGTATATAAGGAATATACTTGATTTCATTAATCAAGCTGAAATAAACCTGCCAAACAAATTATCAAAAATTATAACTAAATCTTATTTTAGATGGGAAGAAAAAGATTCTGAAATAGGAGTTCTTAGACTAATGCCGAAAATCTTAAAACTTCAAGAGGTAAATCACAAGAATGTTGTTAATCTAACGTCACGGGGTATAAAAAGCTCAATGAAGGATCCAATTAAAACCATCCAGAAAATTTTAGATAGGGTTTTTAACCATCTATTATTTCATATAGAAAATGAATTTAACAAAAAATTCGGTAAATGGTCCCCTTCAGTTGGAGGAATAGATGAAGCTATAAATAGGGTCAAGGAAAGTAAAACAGGAAACTGGGGCAATTCTGTAGAAATCGAAGGAGATTTCAGCGACCTATATTCAAATTGCAACAAAAATCTACTGATATCCAGCGTGAACAAAGCATGCAAATTGGCATCTTTTTCCGAAAATTCAATTAACTACATTACATTGTTAATTACGTGCATTATGGACCATTCGTATTTCAAAGAGCCTTTAGGAACGTTTAAAACCTTAAAAGGTTTTTCAATGGGAGATTGCTCGGCAGCCAGAGGCAGCGAAATTATTTTAAGAATAGCAGAATTAAGTATTTTTAATACCTTATCAAGACACCATCTTCAAAGCAATGTAAAGCGGTATCTTAGGTTTAGAGATGATGTATCAGTACATATAGTTGGAGTGCCTGATGATATATGTAAGGTAATCAAAGTAATTTGCACTGGGTATCCAAAGGAAATTATTTTAAATATGGAAACTAAAATCATCCAGGGAAAATTTTTAAACATACGAATATTAAATTTTCCTTCTTTTGCAAACCCATTCACGACAGTACTGAGAAAACAGAACAACAAATACAATATAATTCCTCCTAATTCCAATGTTGCCTGGAAATATAAGAAAATGGCGGGAAATGGATACTTTCGCACTGCAAGAACTCACTGCACCACTCCAAGAGAAAGAAACAACCAATATAGGATTATACATCAAATCCTAAATTTAAAAGGATTTTCTGAAAGTCAAATTTCGAAAATTAAAAATCCCAAGAAATGTAGAAAAGGACAAGAAACGAGCAAGAAAAAGAAGTTTTTAACAACGATAAAATTTAATGGATGTACTAACCGGCACAAATATGTGAAATCATTTGTTAAAAAATCTGAGATAAACCTTGAGGACTACTATCTACCAATGGATGTACCTGGGAAGAAACTCGAACAATACATCTTTACTGTTCGGAAGATGAGAAAAAAACTAAACTTTTGATTATAGGTAGAATAGGATTAACATTTTTTTCAAAACAATTTTTCAATACATAATTAAATTGGTCCAATTTCAGTGTATATTTCTAAAAAATTTTTGTGTATCTTTCTTTATTTTTCTTTATTTTTATCTTTATTTTTAATGGTTTTTCGTTTCGGCCTGGTCTTATTTTAAACACCAGTTAATAAGGCAATTGGTATATCTGGTTTTTTAAAAAAATGAACAATATTCATTTAAATGAGTCATCGTGTGGACTGCTTGTCTGTGGCTGTTGGAGCGGAGCATCCTGAACCCGGGTTTTTCCTAAATGACTTTATTATTAATTTTAAATGCAAGTTTTATTCGTGGGTCCAGTGCTCAAGGGAGCACTGGACCCATGAAACATTTGCTCTGAGATTTACACTCAGGGCAAATGGTACTAGTGGAGCCAGTGCTCCCTTTTTTTAAGGGTATTTAATGAAATTTATTAAAAATTTCTTGAATTGAATGGACTCAAAATCTAAAACAATTTATTCACTCTAGATGTTTGGGTGTGCAGCTCTGACGGTGGCGGCCCTGCAGGATACATACATATATATTTTTTAAAAGCTCATTTTGGATTTTTTTGATTCTGTAATTTTTATATTTTAATTTTCAATTTATTTTTATGTCCAACTAATTAATAGTGTTTTAAATATTAAATAATCCTATTCCCTTACTAATACTGCATCAACCTAGGATGATCATTTTAGGTACTTTTGAAATAGAATGTTAGCGACTATCCTAAAGTTTCTCTGCCAGAGTCTTTTGATCCTAAACTTACTAGTTTCTTAATTCAAAATAGAGCTAGGATGTATATGTATAGTATTCACCCGTCTACAAGCCGATGATGGATTTTAATTCTAAGGCTGACTACGAATGTAGATTTATACTCAATTTAAAATAGTTAGACTAGATATAAGGTTTTGAAGCAACAGATTTCGTCAATAAATATACCTTGTTTTACAATTTATTTTTAAATAAACTTTTTTAAAAACAAAATTAAAAAATACAGTGAACTTTTTTCTCTGATTGTTGTATCTTCTTTTTAGCTGATGCAATTTGACACATATTTCAATTTTCTTTCTCCCTAATATTACGCATATTCCTATTCGTTTTCCATGCAGAGTTGTCAAGTTTTCTGGATTTTGCTACTAAATGTAGATCTGTACACAAGTAATATTTATATATTCTTACAGGTTGGAAATATAAAAGTCACTGCTAAGCAGGGTTTGAAAATTCTGAGTATCCATTGTCAGAATTCCACATTAATATTTACAAATGGAATAAGAAAGGTTAGGTTAGCAGTGGATATTATCGACAAAAGAATTCTTAATTCTTGTAAGTACATCTTGGACAGTGCTTTAGAATATGGCCTCGTCTACATCAAATCTTTTCCTTGCGGCCTGCAGAGTATAAACCGGTATCATAGTGCATGGTGCACAGCCTATCAGGATTCTACTTTCAATGTTTCCATTTTCCTTTTTTCTGGCAAGAGATAGTAGGAAGAGTCTTATATTTGATTTAATTTAGTTTAATTATATTTAAAGATGTCATTAGCAAAATCTGGATCCAGCTAGGTAAAAAACCTCCATTCTCCAGGCTAATACATCGTTAATGGATAAATGCAGGCCTTTAATGTTTCGTGTAGTTCCGTTTTTTTCTTTTCCATTTGTGTGCTGGGGTGTATCCCCCATATACACCCCTGGCTAAAGTTTAGTTGGCCATTTTCTCTCTCTCATCACCCTGAATACTTTAAGAAGCGCCTAGCAAGCCCTTGTTGTTGCTTCTCTGAAAGCTGAATGTACGCTAAAAATAAATAACCTTAATTGACGCTTTAAGCGTTTACTTTTTGTACTGTTTGTTAATCTGCAGCCTAAAATATTAATTAAATCAAAACAAGAATCCCGTCTACACAACTAATAAGCTGTTTTTCATCTAGACTAAGGTTCTTTTTCAATTAAAATTTTTTTGTCATTTTCTTTTTGATTTTTAGATCTAAACCTTCAATAGCAGGCTAGTCTGAACTCTGTATATCAAACAAAACGACTGAACATATTGGGCCCAATTATTTTGTGGCAAGGCAACTCATATATCCCAAAGATGTTGTCTGGAAAAAATTGTCAACATTTATTATTTCTAAAACTCCACCCATTTAAACAAAACAAAATTTGTGTTTCTTTAAGAAAAAAAAACTCACTAAGCATCAGTTGAGAGATAACATTGTTTTCAGAATAACGATGTGAAGCGCCCTGAAAGCCTTGTTTGTTATTTTTACGCATATACGCTGGTGGAAAAAAAGCTTAACATTTTATTTGTTATATCGAAATAATCTGAACAAAATGAGAGGGATTTCTCATAAAATTTTATATTCCTCTAAATATTCTGTTCAGAGGCCTACACAGGGGGCTCAGTCCCCCATGGTTTCCAGGGAGTTTTCAGACCCCAACTGGTGTTGAGCCCCCCCTGGAAAGTTCAAAAATACAAATTTCTGTGTACGCCCCTTAACAAAATGTTGGGGTCTCTTTTTAAGGGTGTTTTTAACAATAAACATGTGACTTATTATTAATAAATTGAGAGTCAATTTTAAAACAACAAACAATTAATTTCAAATACAAACATGGCAAAACTAAACCTATATAAAACATATCTATCTATCTATCTATCTATCTATCTATCTATCTATCTATCTATCTATCTATCTATCTATCTATCTATCTATCTATCTATCTATCTATCTATCTATCTATCTATCTATCTATCTATCTATCTATCTATCTATCTATCTATCTATCTATCTATCTATCTATCTATCTATCTATCTATCTATCTATCTATCTCTCTGTCTATCTGGGCTGTTCTGAAGAGAGAGTAGACGATATAGTTTACGAATGAGCTAGCTAGTGGTAAAGCCTTGGAGTATTGAAAATGAGGAAAATTCACCAAGAGATATCATGTTTTGTATAATTTACGACAGACTCTGTATTTTCCTTAATTAAGATTCGTACAACTACATTTCTATGTCACTGTCTCAAACGTTAGAACAATTAACATCTGTAAATTTTGGAAAGATTTTTGAATTCAAAAATCATTTTTTAATTATGTTAAAGGGACTCTGTAACTTGGTAAGTGTAATTAAAAAAAAATATTTATTTATGTTTGTTCATCGAGTCTAAACTCAAACAGCGTTTTCAAACATTTAAAATTCAATCTTTTTTCTTTTTTAAATGAAATATGATTATCTCTATACAATGATAACCAGAAAACTCTAGAATAGGAAAACGACATTTAGACTCTAGTTAAGACTTTAAATAGTCCAATGAGCATAAAGCACAGTAATTATACCGTGTGAACAGACCCAATTAGTGATTAAATTACTTACAAGCATAACTTTTTGCATTGTAACAACATCAAAAACACAAAAGTATTTCTTTAATGACGTTTTCCTATTCCAAGGTTTTCTGATTCTCAACTCAACATTAAAACCTTTTATTGCGTAACCGTCTACGAAACTGAATTTTCAAAACTTGGATACAAATGGAAGTTAAAGTGCTGGTGTGTGAATTGTGATGTTATTTCTTATACTTAAAGTAACCAAGAAGTAATTTGATCCTAAAGCCAGGTCTCTGTAACATGTAGTTTGCTTTAATCCTTCAACTTCAACCTTAGATTCAAATTTAGTTTAAATAATAAATATATATAATCAATAAATAAGTGACCCTCCGTGCCATGATGGCAATGCCCGATTCACAACAGTACCTTTATCTGATCAGAAATGTAGAGGATATTTTCGTTTTCCTAAATTTAAAATCGCTTAATTGTGAAAATTGCAATATATTTACCTGCAAAGGAAATGTGTAAGTCACTTTTGTTGAGAAATCACAATTGAAATTAATTGGTTTTGAAAATGATAAACATTGATATCTTATTTACTCTTAATTAGACAAAGCTTTAAGGGGTTCCGTTGTGAATCGGAAAAAGCCATCTTTCCATTGATGGTCACGTAAAAAACGTAGAAAAACGTAAAAAACTAGAAAAACAAAAAACGTAGAAAAACTTAATAAAAAGATTTAGTATGTATAAGTTGTCAGTCATTATTTATCTAAAATGTACTGATATACTTTTTTTCAAGTCGAAGAGTAAAAAAATAGATAAATTGTCCAGGAACAGTAAATTGGTGTCTTATTCACTTCTATTAAAGCAATTTAATACGAAACCGATATATTAATGGTTCCAATAATTGTAACTTTATACATTAATAAATATGTTAAAAGGGCAATAGTTTGATAGTGTACTACTAACACGTTTTTATTTATTTATAATTTTAAACCTAAACTGAAACTATGGAATTCAGTCTTTTTCTAATTCCTATATCCTTTGATATTTCAAACTTAGATCATTTGATCTAACAGAATTCAAAGTTTTAAATATCTAAGGTTTACGACATTGGCTAGCAAAGATATAGGAATTTGAAAATCAGAGTTTTTGATAAAGAATTATTTCCTTTAACTCTCAAAATTACACACGAAAACTGGTTTTCTAAATGACATTTTGTTTATTTTTTCAGATGTTTATCTACTAGGGTTAACCGGAAATGCGGAAATGAGGGTAGAATGAGTGAAAAGAAAAAATCCGGGAATTTTTTAAAAATAATTTTGGGCCGGCCATCCAAGCAGACCAGCTCGTTACAGGACTCTCAAAGGTTAGTTATATGATTCAGACACGATTGAAGGTTGTAACAAATTAAAAAATGAATTTTTCAAAATATCTTTTTTAAGCTTTCTGAGAAAAAGTTTTTATTGTTACGTCTCTACGGGTCAATCGCCGAATCGAATGTTTTTGGAGTTCTTTCAAATATTTCAAATGAAGATCCTAACAGAGATGAATTTTCACAGCTAGACTTTTTCCTGTTCATTTTTGATTTTTTATTGGTTACAGATACAGTCTTACAGATTTTTTTTCTAAATGTTCAGCATCCATGAAAACTAATCGTTGTTACTGTTTGAAAATCAACAAGAAGAAATTCCTACCAGCTAAATGACAAGAAAAAAGTAAAAACTAACACAAAAACAAATCTTTTATGTTAGATAAAAGAATCAAAAAAGAGTAAAACTAGGAGGGGTTTATTATTCTAAGCAATTAAGTTATTTTATAAGATAAGATAAGGGAAGGAGAGCCCAGACCGCTATCGGGACTAACTCCATGAGCTCAGGCTCAAATCAAGAAAATTATTCAACAGATTTATATTTTGATTATTATGACTTCTAACGGATTTGTTTTCTTTATAAAATTAAACTGATACAAGACGCTGAAAGGGAGAGGGCAGAGCACCTGATGAATTGGAGGTAGCATGACACCTCATTTTTTTGGTTTTAAACATCTGTAAACCCCTAAAAACCCCATAAAGAACAATATTGGAGGGATGAGAAGCTTAAAAATTAGGCACCATTGCGTTTATACACCTTCCAGATTGATGTAATATTAATTATAAATGATTGACAATGGCCAAAGGATTTTAATGAAAATTTTAGAATAAAGTTCGAGTATGTATGTAACGAATCTAGGCCCTGATAAATCTCCGAATACTTGACTCTAAGTCTAATGTCAGTCTCTGTGACTCAATCTCTAGCCAAAGCTCTGGCTCTCTATACGTCTGTCTAAATCGACTATTGCTTCTATACTAATTTATTAATACAGGTAAATAGAACTGACCGGAATGCGGCCGGTCAGGGTCAACATGAAACATAGATATGATAAATAAACGAACATAGATAATAAAGATATTAATAGCATGATTCCATAATTCATTACATGTATACATATGAAACAATTGACAATTGTATAAGAATTGCTGAAGGTGGTAGTTAGGTCAACTTAATACTGATGATAGTTTATGTCGGAAATTTGTTCATATTTACCGAGTATCTCCCCCCTCCCTCCCTCCCTCC